GGGTTTACTGGGGATTCGGTGGAAACAGAAGGGTCGGTGACCCTGCCTGTGGAGATAGGCACGAGGCCCAACATTCGCAAGCTGGACATGGAGTTCATCGTGGTAAGACTCACTTGTGCGCACAACATCATACTGGGGAGGCCAGCACTGGAGGACCTCAAGGCCATAGTATCGGTGGAACACTTGTGTATGAAGTTCCCTACTCCGAATGGAATAGGAGTCGTCAGAGGGGACCGACGGGCAGCCCGCAGTTGCTACGTGAAGGCATGCAAGAAGATTGGCAGTAAGGACCTACAGGTCCTCACGATCGCGGAGAAATTTTTCAAAGAAGAAGAGGCCTGGCCCCGCGCCGAGCCCACGTCAGAAACGGAAGATATAGTTCTGGATCCCTCCAGACCAGACCGACTGGTGAAGATCGGCACAGGCTTAAGCCCAGAGCTAAGGGCCCAGATAGTGGATGTAATCCGCCGTTCCCACGCAGTGTTCGCATGGGGGCCAGAGGACATGCCGGGCATAGATCGAAGCATCATAACCCACAAGCTCGCAGTCGACCCCAGCGGAAAACCAGTGCATCAGCGAAAAAGGTATATGTCGGCAGAACGAAGAGAGTTTGTGAAAAAGGAGGTGACCGCGTTACTCCACGTGGGGCACATCAAGGAAATTTACTACCCACAATGGCTGAGCAACGTAGTCTTGGCTCCCAAAGGATCAATGTGGAGGATGTGCGTGGACTACACGGACCTCAATAGGGCATGCCCTATGGACCATTTTCCACTACCCAATATAGATCAATTGGTGGATGAGACGGCAGGATGTGAACTCATGAGCTTCATGGACGCCTTCCGTGAGTACCATCAGATATCCATGCATGAGGAGGACGCCGAAAAGATCGCCTTCACCACTCCCGAGGGGATATTCTGCTACTTGGTCATGCCATTCGGATTGAAGAATGCCGGGGCTACATACACTCGCATGGTGGCAAAGCTGTTCAAGACGGTATTGGGACGAAACATGGAAGCATACGTGGAAGACATGATCGTCAAAAGTCGCAAGGCCACCTCCCATGTCGAGGATCTCAGCGAGGTATTTTCCATTATGAAGAAATTTAATTTGCGCTTGAACCCAAAAAATGCACCTTCGCCGTTGATGGGAGCAAATTTTTGGGCTTCATGGTCACTAGGAACGGCATTGAACCGAACCCAGAAAAGGTAAGGACTATCCTTGGCATGGAGCTTCCGCGGTCCATAAAGAAAGTCCAGAGACTCAACGGGCGTCTGGCGGCCTTAGGCCGTTTTCTATCTAAATCGGCTGAACGTTCTCTTCCCTTCTTCCAAATCTTGAAAAAGAACAAAGGGTTCGAGTGGACGCCCGACTGTCAAAAGGCCTTCGAGGAGTTGAAAAAATACTTGTTGTCCCCGCCCCTGCTTGCAAAGCCAGAAGCATGTGAAGCTCTAATCTTGTACTTGGGCGTGTCGCAGGGTGCGATCCGCTCCGTGCTAGTCAAATAAGAAGGAGGGACTCAGCGTCCCATCTACTACGTGAGTAAAGCCCTACACGACGCGGAGCTCCGGTACAGTGTATTGGAGAAAACAGTATTTGCCATAGTCACTTCATCAAAAAGGTTGGCCCACTACTTCAAAGCTCACCCCATCCACGTACTCTCACACCAACCGTTGGGGAGCTTCCTCCGGAATACTAACAGCTCCGCCAGGATGGCACGGTGGGCCATGCACCTCAATCAGTTTGACATAGATTTCAAACCAAGGCCCGCCATCAAAGGCCAAGCTCTTGCAGACTTTATAGTGGAGTGCACAGCTCGGGAAGTGACGGACCAAGTAGAAATTGAAGATGGAGGGTGGTGGACCTTGTGCACAGACGGTTCTTCCAACATCAAAGGTTGCGGCGGCGGCGTAGTGCTCGTCACTCCGGAGGGATTCCGCGCCTACTATGCCATCCGATTCCACTTCAAGTTATCTAACAATGAGGCGGAGTACGAGGCCCTGCTCAATGGGCTGCGGTTGGCGGCGGGACTACGAGCTGAAAAGGTCCGAATTCGATGCGATTCCAGGCTTGTAGTAAGCCGGGTGTCTGGGGAGTACGAAGCCAACGAAGGAAGCATGCAGAAATACAGAGACGCGGTGCTGAGAACCTTGCGCGAGTTTGAGGGGTATGAAATACATCAGGTACCAAGGGAGCATAACGCCGACGCCGACATGCTCTCAAAACTAAGTACCGGAGTCCCCAGCCACATTAGGAAGATCGCTCGGCTAGAAGACCTCGAGACTTCAAGTATCGATGTTTCGTGGGTCTTCCCCGTGCAGACTAGGGAGCCATGTCGGATTGATCATATCAAGCGATACAAGGCAGATGACACCTTACCACAAACCGAGGCGCAGCACCTCGCATCAAAGAAAAAAAAAAAGGGGGGGGGGGGGGGGGGCAAACAGCAGGCATGTATACGCATATATATTAAATACATAAATAAATCGTAAAATTGTAGTGACAGCGGAGACTTACAGAACTGTGGCAGAAGTTGATGAAGAGGTGATCTCAAACTGTTCAGAGGCAAGGGTTTATATTGGAGAGGAGCCTGGGATAAAAAGTTAAGTGAATATCATTAGAAGCAGGAAAGGATTGGGAAAGCACAAATCAGGGATTTGGAAAGCAAAAATCAGGGATTTGGAAAATATCATTAGAAGCAGGAAAGGATTGGGAAAACACAAATCAGGAATTTGGAAAGCAAAAATCAGGGATTTGGAAAATAAAATCACTCCTAAATCAATCAGGATTCTACACAGGATCAAAATAAGATTCAGCTTTACTCTCAAACCAACTCAAACACATCCGTTGACTAGGAGTAGGGGGGACTGGTGACAGGATAATAGGGCTGGAACCCGACCCGGATCACAAGTGGGCATCCGACCCGACACCACATGAAAACCAACGGGCAGAACCTCAACGAACAGAATTCCAACAATGTCTCCTTTACTGTCATTGAAGCCAGCATTGAAGCCCCCATTGATGAGAGAATTAAAAGCTTAGGCTCCCCATTTAAGTCCCATGTTGTTACCGTTAGGACCCTAGTATAAATGGGGCTCTCCTTAGCTAGCAAAGGACACACTGTATTTTCTATATTGAGACAAAAGTAATACAACTATTGTTACTCGTTCTCTCACATAGCGTTATTATAATATTATTATTACCGGTAACATTATTACCGTCAATAGCATTCTTTTATATTTAATAATGAGATGTGTAATTTATAATGCTTTTTTTATTCAAATTATTTTTATCAAATTAATTATGTTTCATATTTTGTTATGAATATTTTTATAAAGTTTCGATGGGTTTTATTTTTTGCTCATATCGAACAATATTTATACCTATATTTTTTAGATATTTTTTTCAAATTATCTCTTTTGTTTTAATGTTTCGCCTTCACTGAAAAAAATTTCTGGATCCGTCCCTGCTTTTTCGCTGCCCCCCTCAATGGAATTCCTGGTTGCGTCCCTGTGTATATATGTATGTGTGTGTGTGTGTGTGTGTGTGTGTGTGTGTGTATATATATATATATATATATATATATATATATATTTATTTATTTATTTATAACACTCCCCTAGCCTTAACCATTATCTTACTACACTCATTCCTCATTAAAAACCTCTCTAGAAAAATCAAGACGAGGAAAAAAGTACACGTACGTGGTGGGTGAACCATGTGTTGCACTGGTTGTCTCATTAAAACCTTAGGCTAAAAAAATAAGCGGGAAAAAATCTTAGTTAAGGAAAAAAGAGTACAACCATAACCCCAACATCAACCTTCATGGCATAATCTTTATAAGGATTGATTCAAGTAAAATGATACTCCCCTTGAAAATAACAATCTTCAAACCCCACATATGAAATATATTTCCAAAAAGTAAAAAGGGTTTTGTGAATAAATATGTTCAATTGTCAATGAGGCAAATATGTTGTATAATAATCTCGTGAATCTTCTAAAGCTCACATGGATTGAATCATGACACTACACTATATATGTCTTGTCAAAAATTTCATAATATGCCCGACCATTTATCATTAGTGCAACACAAGCTTTATTGTCTCAATATAGGACAATAATGATGGTAAAATATAATATAACCAATTCGGGACTTGACATCATGGGGATCAACTAACAATAGCAATACACACGTAGCCCACTATAATCATATATTGGCTAACTGGTGTATAAAATTCATTCAAGGAAATACTCGATCTTCAAATTGAGGTAATAATTAGGTTTCCCAAGCTTTTCATTTCAAAATCTCCGTGTTTAATCATGAGCTAACATCATCAAACTCTTTCTGTATTTCAATGATATTTATACCATCAATACTGACTGAGATAATAAATAAATAACTCCATTAGCAACTCCTTTAATGAGCACACATAATGACACATATTATATGGATATTCCTTCTTTAAGAGAAAAAAAACTCAGTCAATAATCAACTGTTAAGTCATGTAAATACCTTAATACTTTTCATGTTACAATTTTCAATTTTTTTTTTTATTTTGAGAATTTTTTAAATCAAGAATTTTGAGCTTCAAGTGCACATTTTTGTACCTTGAAGTGCATGATTTTGAGCTTTCAAATGCACATTTCGTATAAAATTTATTTTAGGAGAGTCAATGATCATAGTTTACCGTATTTTCGCACCGAAAGTAGGCTGCTCACCTTATCCTAAACATATGTATATGAGAAAGTAAGTACTGATATGAAAAAGTAAGTACTGAAACAAAACATGTGCACTCAAAGAAGAGAAATATGCGATTAAAACAAAAATATTAGTGTGGGAGTTTAGATTTTTTGAACCGAAAATGTTCAAGAAAGTATAGAATATATACTACATTGTAAAAGATCATGAATATTTAAAAAAAAAAATTAAAATAAAATAAACTCAAGTACCCTAGTAGTATTTCTCGAAAAAAAAAAGTACCCTAGTAGTAGTGATTAAAGAATATTTTGGAAGAAATATTTCTGCCACACAGACGAACGCCTTTGCCTTTCCATCAGTCACCTCTCACGCCAGCCCAACTTTGCATCTTTGCAACAAATTCAGTAGGTTTTTCACTGATCGTATGTTATTTCCGATTTAATCAAAATCCTTAGCTTCCTGCTTATTTTTGAGTTTTATTTTTATTACAAATTATTCGTTGAAGCGGTGGAGTTTGAATTGCGGACAACTTGTTTGATTGTATGCCTGAAAGAGGACGCTTTTGGTTTTTGGCTGTAGGAACTACTCGAATATGAACTGTACCGTAATACAAACAAGCTTAAAACGGTATTCTTTGCATTCCAATGAACAGTTTACATCGCCATTTTGCTAAGCTGTCGTATAGTTTGATATTGCTTTGCATTTGATGGTTTATTTGCTGAAATATTCTCAATTTACGGTAAATGGGAAGGTTCAAGATGGAGAATGCTACTAGGCTTCAAGGAAGCATTCCTTGCAGCAGTCCAAGGATGGGTTTGCAGAGAATGGTAGTCAAATTACATAAAGTATCCATAGGGAAATATACTTCACAGCGTGCTTCGGGGAGGATATTTTGTAACCCTGTTAGTTTGGAGGAGGAATTTTCAGCTCTACAATCACCAGATATATCGAGGAATGACGAGTCTGATACCGATTCTTCAAATGAGGATGATCTTGATCGACCTTTGAGTGCTGAGGAGGTAAATTATTTGGTCCATAGTTGTAAACCAACAGTGGAAGTAGCTAAAAGAATATTAGTTGCTGTGCCTCTCCTTTTCTGGTACTGCATATTCATATATATATTTTTAATATTGTTCTGCAATAGTTGTTGATGCAGAGATGAACTTGATTAATACTCTAGTCGAGTTAATACCCAATTTTAGTCCTAGACTATAATGGTTTTTCTCGATGGTTTTACCTAATTGAATCCTATGTTTGGATAGCTTGGTAATTTTTTCTGTATTAATACTCAATTTAGTTCTCGACTATACTGGTTTTACTCAATCTAGTCCTTGATTATAGTGATTTTACCTAATTTAGTTCTCGACTATAGTGATTTTTCTCGATTTAGTCCTTGATTCTAGCAGCCAATAGACGGAAGGCTTGACAAAGTACTCAATTAGATAAAATCATCAAAGTTCAAGACCCAATTAAGCACATAAAGTCATTTAGGAGTTAGGACTATATAGAGGAAAACCAGTGTATTGAGGACTAAATTGGGTATTAACTAATAACTCTACTCTAGTCATATTACAGATGGGTGATATTTTGTTGAACAGAGCTAATACTATACTCTTAACATTCTTGAACAGTTGAAGGTGCTGCTGACTGATTCTGAAAGATTAAAGCTGCTCAAGAAATTGAGTGAAGCCAATCAACATAATAGGTTCCTTAAACGCCAGGTTTTTACCTTCATTTTCCCTCAAAAACTCGTATAAGATTGCTTGCTTTATTGTATTAATTTTTGTTGAAGATAATTAAACATGATGCAATAACTGTTGCACTTGGGAACCTTTCTGCTATGATTCTGCAGTTGCAAGCACGGGAGGATGAACTGGTTAGTTTCAAAAGTGAACTTGCAGTGGCAGAACTCGAGATTGAGGTATGCATCTTTCATTATGGTTTCTTATCCGCATAAGTTTCCATTCAGTTTCAAAGCTTTAGTCCCTTGCACAACTGTTTGAGGATGCAATTCATGTCAATTATGTATTTTCTTTTTTTCTGTATCAAAAAATACATCTTCTTTTATAGCTTCTTAACCATGTAAATGTAGCATATCAGCAAATGTTTACAGTTTAGTTTTTAAAAAATGACCTTTATGCAATGATTTGAGGATGTAATTCTTGCCATTTAACACTTCAAGTGTCTGAAGATAAGTAATTATAAGACAAGAAAGAAGAAAAAGAAGTCCCACTTGAGGTTTAGATTTTGGTGTATGAATAAGACTCTTAATCTCTTTTTGAAGGCTTTGGTCAGTTTGGCAGAAGAAATTGCAAAATCTAATATTCCAGAAGGTACAAGAAAGATTAATGGGAAATATATTCAGTCTCACCTCCTTTCACGTCTCCAAGGTACTAACACCTGTTTTACAGTTTCACCTACTTCTGTTTCATTTATGCAAATATCAAAGACGACATCTACTCCCCAAAACAATTGATTATGTGAATTAGGATGTTTGTTTAGTAATATACTCTTTAAATGCATTGCAAAGTTATTTTGGAAAGGAGTTAATTGATTGGAAAACAAAGTTTAGCTAGTTTTAGTTAATATTCCATAATTATACACTATAATCATAACAAGAATATCCACTACCTCAACATTTATGTATGTCTTAACAAGACCTTTTCTTCATATGGACTTTATATTTGCTTTGAAAAGCTTTAAAAGGAAAACTGAAGGAACAAGTAAAGGATGTGGAAGCTGCTCAATCCAAAGAGGTTCCTTTATTCTGGATGGGTTTGGCAGAGGTCAGTTCGTATGGAAGTTTTTTCTGTTTGCATTGGATTTTGTCCAGCGGCATTATATTGATATATATTTTTTTTATAAAAGCAAAAAAAAAAAAAAAAAAAAAAAAAAAAAAAAAAAAAAAAAAAAAGATACTGTGTACAGCTAGAGGTTCTGAAAAGATGCCACCTTTGAGATATTCAACTTGAAACAACTTCGAATTTTTTCTGATCGATATATCCTTGAACTTTTGGGGTCTGATATTAATTTGGTTTGTTCAGAGTGTGCAAGTAATGGGATCTTTTGATGGCTGGAGTCTAGGAGAACACTTATCACCAGAGTACACAGGTTCATACACACAGTTCTCAACAACATTACTGCTTAGACCTGGAAGGTACCACTTTCTTCAACCACCTATATTCTTAAATAGTTGGTTACTTTTAGTTGATCCATATTCTTAAATCGTGAAGGTATGAGATCAAATTCTTGGTGAATGGAGAGTGGCAACTATCCCCACAATACCCTACTGTTGGTGAGGGATTAACCCAGAACAACTTACTGGTTGTGGAATAGCTCCAATTAGCAGACACCTGCTCATATCTATCTACTGAGCTATAGAAAATGTAATTCCTGCCATCTTACTTTAAAATCTGTAAGGAATTGGATTGTTCATCTTCTATATTCATCCAGTCATGTACTTAATTAACTATCTAATATATGTAGTTGACTAGTCCGTGAGATTATAATAATTTAACAACTCACAACCCTGAGTGGAAAAAGTGAAAACGATATATTCGAATTACTCGACCGCCTAGAACGCGCCTAGTGCCTTCTGCAACATTGGTTGACACATAAATTCTCACTCATGGAACAACTCAAAAACTTTTGGATGTAGTATGGAAGCAAAATTTGACTGAAATCATCGCAATTACATAGTTAAGAATGAAGGCGAAGCTAATGTTAGGGTTAAAGATTTAGAACTTACAAATTAGGAATTGAGAAGAAAAAGAAAAAGGATCCTGATTTCGTGAAAGGTTGAAAGAATGAGTCCAACAAGTTTATCCGATACGGATACGCCATCGGGAACCAGTTGCGGTTATAATACTCCTCCCTCGCTACTTATATACATCCTCATTTTCATGGCGGCCTGTTTTTCGCCTGCTCGTTCCATCCCCATCTTTTATCAGCATCTCTGCTTAAAACCCTCGTTTATCTCACGTTCCCTTTCTCACCCCAATCATTTTCTTAAATCCCGCCCTTGTCCCCTCTGGTCTTCTTCTTTCTCACTCTGCCTTCACACTACCACCCGCAAGTCAACACTCCGAGCGTCGTCTCTTTCTCCTCGCAAGCGGGTGACCTCCGTGTGCCGATTCTCCGCCCCGCCCTCTCCTGCTGTCTCCGGAATGGCCGCGGCCGCCGCGACTGACGATAATCCTTTGTTGAAGGATTTCTATTTCCCGCCGTTCGATGCCATCGACGCCTCGCACGTCCGCCCCGGAATCCGCGCTTTGCTCAAGCAGCTCGTATGTTGTTTGCGCGTGTGTGTATTTGGGTTTATTTGACGGCGTTTGATGAGTTTGTAATGTCTGTGGATTTTGGATGTAGGAAGGTGAATTGGAGGAATTAGAGAGGACTGTGGAGCCGACGTGGCCGAAGCTTGTGGAGCCATTGGAGAAGATCATTGATAAATTGGCTGTGGTTTGGGGCGCCGTTAATCACCTAAAGGCCGTGAAAGATAATCCTGAACTCCGCTCCGCCATTGAAGAAGTTCAGGTCACTATCGGATTTCTCATCACTGGTCCATTCTAGGGTAGAGGCTTTTGAGTTGAGGACTATTGAGCTTATCTTGGTCATTCAATTCCGCTTACCTTGGGCTATACTTTAGCAATTGACTAAAATGCCTAGGGACTATTTACATTTCAAGAAGTTTTGATAAGTTGAATTTAAGTAGTTTTCATACCTTTGATCATTGTGGGCTATAAAGTATTTTCTGCTGGATATTTTGTGGACCAAATTGTTCTTCACTGCTAATTACTTTGTGTATCCTTTGTTATTGGCCTACAGCCAGAACAAGTTGCTTTTGAGCTTAGGTTGGGCCAGAGTAAGCCAATTTATAATGCATTTAAAGCTATCAAAGAGTCTTCTGACTGGCATGGTCTGAGTGATTCTCGCAAACGAATAGTTGAAGGTATGTGTGCCAAAGCTCTTCAGTTTATTCTTTTGATGAATATATATTGCTTATATCAATGTGCAATGAGTGCTCCTGTGGCCTATTTCACATTTTCTTTCCTACTCATCCAGCTCAAATAAAGGAGGCTGTGCTGAATGGTATTGCCCTTGAAGATGATAAAAGAGAGATATTCAACAAAATTGAGCAGGTATCTACTTATTAGCTGCCTACTTGATAGACTCAGCTGTATTTGAAGGCTTGATTTCTGAATAACTGTTTACTCCAACAAAATTGAAGGCTTGATAGTTTCTGTTCACTCCAAATTTGCAGCACTGTAACTGTTTACTTTTTTTTACAGGACTTGTCAAATCTATCAAGAAAATTTGGGGAGAATGTCTTAGATGCCACAAAGAAGTTTGAAAAGTTAATAACTGATAAGAAAGAAATTGAGGGGTTGCCGGCTTCAGCTCTTGGTTTGGCTGCACAGACTGCAGTGTCTAAAGTATTTACTTCTTTGCATGTCTTCCTTATTCTCACTTATCTGACATATATCCAGTTTGCTTTCCTTGATTGTTTCCTTAACATCTATGCGACTGTTGACAGGGACATGAAAATGCTACTGCTGAAAGTGGGCCGTGGATTATTACATTAGATGCACCAAGTTATATGTCAGTAGTGCAACATGCAAAAAATCGCACATTACGGGAAGAGGTGTACCGTGCCTATATAACTCGTGCTTCAAGCGGAGACCTTGATAACACAGCAATTATTGACCAAATTCTGAAGCTTAGGTTGGAGAAGGCTAAGCTTCTTGGATACAATAACTATGCAGAGGTATGATCTTTCTTCATTTTTATATGTACTACTTTTCATTGGCACGACCACTCTTATACTTTGGAGCAATAGGTAAGCATGGCCAGGAAGATGGCAACTGTTGATAAAGCAGAAGAGCTCCTCGAAAAACTTCGCGTTGCTTCTTGGGATCCTGCAGTTCAAGGTAGTTCCTTCAAGATGAGTTCATGCTTAGTGATATTATCTTTAGTGTTGGTTACTTGGTTTTGTTACAATTGTACTCGTTTTGCATTATGTTACTTTTTCCGGCCTAGAAATACATGTATGCTTGATGTATACAAAAGATGCCAACTAGATTCAGTTGACAAAGCATGAAGGCTAATTTCATACATATATTTGTAGATTAATACTTGTTTCTGTTGTGGTTAAGTGGTATTTGCTTCTTAATTTAGATATGGAAGAGCTTAAAGATTTTTGCAAAAGTCAAGGTGCTCCAGAAGCGGATGATTTGAACCATTGGGATGTTTCTTTTTGGAGTGAGAGGCTTCGTGAATCGAAGTATGAAATAAATGAGGTTCGATCTCCTTCTCTATGAATCAAAAAGTAAATTATCCTTGAACAGACAGATGTAAATCTGTGCTCCTCTTTCATTCTTGTCCATCTGTCTTAGTGGCAAACAAATTAGAGAATGGTTCTGATGGAGGCCCTGAACTGCACCTGCACATTTTCTTTGGGAGCATTGACAATAGTTTAGTGCTTCAGATATACTGTAACCTTTTAAGAGTTCAGATACCACAGAATCAACCCACCTAAACTTATCATCCAGTTGCATCTTTTAAATACTGGGTGCCTGTCTTTTTCTGGAAATTGCTTATAAGCCTACTTGAACTTGATGTATGTATATTTTGCTTATTACTACTACTCATCAGTCATAATTGTGGAAACTTTGTGCTTTGCTTCTAAGCGTGATGATTATACTGCATACTACAAAAGCCATTTCCTTAGCTAATTGGATGCACTTTTCGTTCTTTTCCTCCAATTTTACTGTATATACAGATTTAATTTAACTAGCCTTTATACAATTTACAGGAAGAACTGCGCCCATACTTTCCATTACCAAGGGTCATGGATGGACTTTTTAATCTTGCAAATAAGCTTTTTGGAATACGTGCTGAACCAGCCGATGGATTAGCTCCGGTTAGATTTCAGTTGTCTATCCACTATTCCACTTACATTGAAGAGGAAGTACAGCTGGTATCTGTACTGATAACAATATTGTTAATTAGGTATGGAACAAGGATGTCCGCTTCTACCGTGTGAATGATTCATCTGGCAATCCCATTGCATATTTCTATTTTGATCCATACTCACGTCCATCTGAAAAACGTGGAGGCGCATGGATGGATGAAGTTGTCGGTCGAAGTCGTGTGCTGTCACCAGATGGTGCTTCTCCTAGGTTGCCTGTGGCCCACATGGTTTGCAATCAAATGCCACCTGTAGGGGACAAACCCAGCCTGATGACATTCCGTGAGGTAAGCATACACTTGATTTCTATTCTTAATTTTTTGGGCCCAAGTCCTAAAATCTCTTCTTGTGAAGTGCTGATTGGCTAGTGATTTGGTGTAGCTTACATTTCTTTGTACAGTTTATGCATGCTGGTCTAAGTCTAATTTTCATTCTCTTTATCTGTTTAAATCAATGAAACTTTTTCTGGGTATGTGAAATTTCATTTCATATGTAGGCAAGAAAAGTGTCATACAATACATGAGAATATCTCTCAATTGTTCAAATTGTTATACTTTGTAACACTTAATGGAAGACTAATCTCACAACTTTTTATTTGTAAATGGTGTTCTTATAATCTTACTAAGTGCATCTTTGGTTTGTTGTTGGTTCCTGGGTTTTATGTAGGTCGAGACTGTCTTCCATGAGTTTGGCCATGCCCTTCAACATATGCTGACTAGGGAGAATGAGGGTTTGGTTGCTGGTATACGGGGCATAGAGTGGGATGCTGTGGAGCTACCTTCCCAATTTATGGAGAATTGGTGCTATCACAGGTATTTGGTGCTTCAGTTGTCAATAACTCATTACTGCTAAAAATGTAATGCCGTAGATATTCTTTGGTATGTAGCTGAAGTGCTGAACAATTTCTTTTCAGGAGTCGAATGCACATTTGCTTTTGTATTGTTTTTATTTTTCTCTTTTATTTCATTTAGGAGAATGGGAAGGGTTGGCTAAAGTTATCCTTTACCTGCTCACAATGCTGTGATATACCTTATGTAACACCCATCCTTGTGTCACAAAACAGAAGGGAGCCTTCTGCAAAAAGAAGTGTCAGATTGATCACCCCATTTCAGTCTTTACTCACCATTTTGCTGAGGACTCCCTTAAAGAGACTTAAAATAGTGGATAGATCACCTAGATTAAATCTTCTTGAGGAGCCAAAAACAATAGTATGAACTCCATTGAAAGGAACAGAGAATTTGCCTGAAGAGATATAGAACTAAATACAACTTGTCTACTAAATAACCTATTCTTGTTTTACTTTGAGATTAGAGAAGAAAACTTGCGGGGATGTGATCATAGTTTTTATTTCCAACATTCAAACTAGCTCATTAATCCTTGTGTCATTTAGGTGTCTATACCTTTATCACTGCAAAGGCTGCATAAAAAAATTGTCATCCTTTCACAAAGACAGATGATGAGCATCAGTGATGCAATAATCTTCTGATTAAAAAAGAAAGACCTTTGCAATCAATTTGTAAATGCCTAATGAGGTTGATAGGTTTGAACATTGAAGTATTGTATCCTCGGTGTCATTCTTCTTGGGAATCAACCTAAAATATCAATGTTAATGTTCTTTTCTATAGAAATTTTCCATTATGTGCATTGCATATCCAGTTCACTGATTTCCTGATTATGTAAGCATGGTTGGTTATCTTTATTAATTAAAATGTGATATTATATTTGACGATTAAGTTTTTCTGTGACTTTTAATGCACTTATTGACAGATGCACGTAATTAATTATTGCTACTATCGGTTATTCATATTTTGCATATGGCTTGCAGAGATACATTGATGAGTATTGCTAAGCATTATGAAACTGGAGAGTCTCTTCCTGAAGACATATATAAGAAGCTCCTTGCTGCTAGGACTTTCCGTGCTGGCTCCTTTAGTCTCCGTCAGGTGAGTGCTAGTTGGTGGTCTGCATGTGCTCTTTCAATCTCTCCCCCCACTTTCTCCACGGCTTCCATGTGGTACTAAAGAGAACATCAAGGAGAATAAGGGATTAAATGTCTTCAGATAATAAAAGTTGCCACCTTTCTAAATACTCCATATGTAATAAGAAAACAGAAATTCTATAGGAGCTTCATTGACTGAGGTGATTGCTACTTAGATCTTTATGCATATTGTTCTGCAGTTAAGATTTGCAACTCTCGATCTTGAGTTGCATTCAAGTTACATCCCAGGTGGTTCAGAATCAATCTATGATGTCGACCAACGGGTCTCTAAGAAGACACAAGTGCTTCCCCCACTTCCCGATGATAAGTTCCTTTGTGGTTTTGCCCACATATTTAATGGTGGATATGCTGCAGGATACTATAGCTACAAGGTTCTTTTCTTTACCTTGTTATGTGCTTTAATGTATTCTCTTCACATTTGATTTTGTTTTGGAAGTACATTTTGACAATCATATCTTTCCACCTCCAACTTTGTGTCATAAGTAATAAGAGTTAATACCATATGAGGTCCTCCGAGTATTGTGGTTTTGCCACGTTTAGTCCTAAACTTTCAAATTGACCATCTGTGGTCCTTCGACTTTCAAATTTAACCATTCGTGGTCCAAGTTAACCACCCATGGTCCTTAAACTATGAAATTTTAACCAACCATGGTCCTTTCAAGAGGACCATAGCTGGTTAAATTTCAAAACTTGAAGGACCATGGATGGTTAACTTGGACCGCGAATGGTTAAATTTGAAAGTTGAAGGACCACAGATGGTCAATTTGAAAGTTTAGGACTAAACGTGGCATAATCACTATACTCGGAGGACCTCAGATGGTATTAACTCTTAAGTAATAATCATTACATTGCATGTCCACCTAAAGCACTTGCTATCATTACCCTTCCTTTCTTGGTTGGGTGGGTGAGGTGTCTCATTTTGTGGTTAGCTATGATATTTCTAGTTGCTAATTTTTTTTTTAAATAATGTTTAATTTTAAATTTTTTAGAATAATGTGAGACTATATTAATGGCTAATGGTTATGCAGTGGGCGGAGGTTTTGTCTGCTGATGCTTTCTCTGCATTTGAGGATGTCGGACTAGATAACGAGAAGGTATTTAGTTCTATGATGTCTGTTTTCCCTATTTTCTTTTTATTATAGTAGAAGATAAAATCTTATGTATCACTATTCAAGTAGCCAAATTATACCCGTATAATGGATGTGGGTGTTCATTGTTAATAGGCTGTTCAAGAAACCGGGCAAAGATTCCGGGAAACCATACTTGCTCTTGGAGGTGGAAAAGCTCCATTGGAGGTAGAAATAGAGCGTGTAAATGACTGCTTGATATAGATTTCTGGACTTTGCATCCTCTTACGTTGTTTGGATGTTTTACAGGTTTTTGTGGAATTCCGAGGACGAGAACCTTCTCCAGAGCCACTTCTCAGGCACAATGGGCTGCTACCAGCTGTTGCATAAGCTGCCATGAATGGAGCTTCAAGCTACTCGCTGACTATTGACAAAATCATAAGATGAGCGAGATATGTTTTTCAATTAAGATTAGAGATAGACTTTCGTCTTTACTTGTATGGGACTAACGTTATAGACTTATAGTTTATCAAAATTAAAAGGAAAAAAAAAAAGATTAATAAGGATAATAATATTGGACTAATGTTATTGCACTTTGGCAGTTGGCACTATGGCGTTTTGCATCACGTAATGTGGAGTGGGTTCTTTGAAGAAGCCATTCCTCGGTCATAAGTCGTGTTTTATATATATAATAAGACGTAATAGGAGGAAAAAGAACAAAATAAAGTGCTTGAAAGGGCAATCGTTATACACAATGGACCGCCTACACAAGTGATATGTCATTCATAAATATGTATATTGTTAAATGAACTTGTACTAGAATTGTAGAATTAAAATGATATTTTAGTATTGATACAATGAATTTGTTGTGAGAATAAAATGAAATTGAATAGCAAAAATTGAATATTTGTATGAATAAAATGAAATTGAATAGCAAAAACATGAAGTCTATTTAAAATGATATTTCAGCATTATTATAATAACATTATTAATGTGTGAAAAAATAAACTCAAACAAAATACATATCATGGTTCACACTATTAAATGAACTATAATCCACAGTAAAATTTGCCCTTTATTCCGTCAAATTTGATGCATAGGATCTTGGCTTTATCACTTTATCTAGTATATATAGGAGTGATCAAACGATCAACAAATAATCCGATTAGGGATGACAATTCAACCTGATCTCGACGGGAAAAATCGATTCTCGCCCAACTCGAAAACCGATTTCCGTCCCGACCCCGATCCCATCCCTGATTCCCTGTTTAGTGTATATATATAAATATTATAATAATATTTCTTTTTTTGAATGCTACTAGCTCTATTAGAATGTAGTATCTGTTCATATACTTTCTCAACCTACTGAAACACAAAGAGCTAATAACGCCTCCATTAAGGCTCGAACTCACAATCTTCCAAATGGAAGTCCAACCCGGATACCATTAGACCATATAGTCCTGGTTATAATAAAATTTCTTAATTAATAATTAGTTTTGATTTTTTAATCACTCATTGCCAAAGACGCAATTCGAATTTCAGACTTCCAGAATTCCATATAATAATAATAATAATAATAATAATAATAATAATAATAATAATAATAATAATAATAATAATAATAATAATAGTATCAGAAATTAATCAAAACTTTTTGTTATAGAAAATGATCCATTCTAATGTTGACAAAGCATTATCATCATTCAAAAAAATTGGGCGGGGATTCTCCGTTCCTGAAAAATCTTCGCAGGAACGGGGATAGTCCCGCCGGGAAATGTGGGCCTTTTCGGGGACAGGGACCGGGACCCCATTTCCCGTCCCCGTCCCGCCCGTTGTCATCCCTAATGTCGGTTATATAACTGACGGAGGAGTCGAAAAACTAAATAAATTTTTTTCTTTTATAATTGATCAAATTAAATACTATAACCGCCTAAATAGTCGACTCTCGATTTCGATTGTATCAATTTTTGTTTCTCAGATTTCTTCTCAATAAACAAGTATTTAGCAATGATTTTGTGGTAAGAGTAACGTATATATGAAGATTCATGCAGGGAATTTGAAATTTTTTTATAAAATGACCAATGTATTCTTTAATAATTTGAAAATTCAAAATAAATTGTTAAAGTTAACAAAATCTACAAGTAATGGATTGAGAATGTCACTTTCAACATAACTAAAGGGTACAATTTGTATAGAGTAATAATTTATGGACTGAATCTACAATTTAGATATAACTTCTTGATTAAAATCGTCATTTTCAATTGTAAAATAAAAATACTACTTAGACTCTAAAATATATTTCCATAATGGCACGTTTAGTTCGCGAAATAGGCCTAAAATGGAATAGCATTCCCAGTAATAGGCCTATTTCTTTGTTTGGTAAAATCTTTTATTGCCAGGAACATTGTTCCTGGGAATGACCTATTCCCAAGGGGAATAGAAATTCCTGGCACCCCGCTGGTATTAGGTTATTCCTCATGAATAGCCTAAAATTATTATTATTTCATACATATTTTATTTCTATTCCTTAAACCAACCAAACACTGGAATAACATTCCTAAAGTCTATTCCTTCACCGAACCAAACACTAGAATACAATTTTTATTCTATTCCTTGCCTATTCCATTCTCTATGGAATAGTATTCCTATTCCTTTAAAATTCATTCCGCGTACCAAACATGCAGTAAGTGTTCAAATTTTATTGAAGAAAAAAAATGAATAAAAATCATGATCTCCTTATATTAAGCATACCCGATAGAGTAGGATATGAAAGTATAAAATGAAAGTACATATAAAATTAATTATTAAATGAAAGTACATACTAAATTAAATTATGACAGTAAAGTTCAAGTATGGAGATACGTTGATAGCATAATAATTTTACATTGTTTTGATGTCTTGGGGTGGGAAAAACAATGTAAAATTATTATTAAAAAAAAAAAAAAAAAAATTGTGCGCTAGAATGAGAAATTGATGTCTTGGGGTGGGAAAAAAACCAATTTTCTCCGTCAGTGATCTCTGATCACCAAAATCTGGAGAGCTCGAAGCGGGAAAAATGGCGAGAGCCGGGGGAATAACGAACGCAGTTAACGTGGGAATAGCGGTTCAAGCTGACTGGGAGAGCCGCGAATTCATCTCTCACATCTACCTCAATATCCGCTGCCTCTTTGACTTCCTTCTCCACTTCGGTAATTTCCAGATCTCTCTCCTCCCTCCTTCCACCTCACCCATTACGGATCCCTCCCTCATTCCCTGTGCCGTGAATTGCAGAGGCCACCACCAAAACCAAACTCTCATCCTTGAATGAGAAGCTACATACACTCGACCGTCGCCTCCAACTTCTCGAACTGCAAGTCGCCGCCGCCGCCGCCAATCCAGCTCTCTTCAATACTTGATTCAATTCATACGGATCTTCAATATACGGAGCCAAGTAACCTGTAAGCCACTCCTTTTCTGTACTCTATACGACCTAATTGTTGTTATCTAATCAATGAAGAAACAGAAAATCTTAATCTGGGTGGTTAGTTTTTGCAACTTCTTTATTTCCTCCGCTGGGCTGCTATCGAGATCTGGACTCCAGGCAAAATTCTAATAGCTCAATTTAATAATTTTGTTCTATAAATCAACACTTTTTGTTTTGGTGTTGAAGGTAAATCTTTGAGACATTTGATTTTTATGTGAAATATTTCTGGATACTTATGGTAGCAGAAGCAATAACATAGAACAAATCAAGAAATATTGTATGCATTCCAATATGATATGGAATACATTGTATGGAAATTTGGATTATAGAATACTAGAAGAAACTAAAGTAATCTCAAGTAAACTTCTAACTTGAGTTTGCCCAACCTTACTAATCTCAATTTAGGAAGACTTACCTTTTATAGTGAACCATGTCATCTTCAACTGTATTCTTCATTTATGTTTCATGCTCCAGAATCGCCAGAAGTACCCGACATCTTTCTCTGCTAGAGCGAAGTCATTTTGGTACCGGTATTGTGTTGTCTTTGGTCCGGTCGCTAGTTCTTGTTTCTAGAAAACTTTTCATGAATTTTTTCATACTTGGGAGCAATCCGATGTAGTTTTTTGTTATCCCTTTCTAGTTGCCTCCAGATGGTCAGTTCTTCTTGTCCATAGAAGATGTTCTCTTGAGTTTGCCTTCAAACAGTCTTTTGCTATACCCTCTATGGACAAGAAGTAATAACCAAAGACAGCATAGTTCTGGGAAATTCGGGATTGAATAGGAAGGTCAAAACTGGTAAGGCAGAAATAATAAGAGAGAATAAACCAGCAAGACAGAAATATGGGAAATCTAAGCAGTTTGGTGCTTGGAGAGGGAGGCATTCAGGGCTGGGAAATCAGAGACAAACATAGGAAACTAAACCATTCCGAAATCTGGAAAACTATCCAAAAGAACACTCAATTTAAGGGGTTACAACTAATTCTCCTAATCTGTTTACAGCTCATGCACACCTCAACATTATGCATTCTCTTATCTCAAGCAAGGTAGGTACCCCTTTAACCAAATTTTCTGTTGTACTTTCCGCAGGTAACTTGTTAAGCTTCTATGTCCATTGGTTAAGTAACCATTGTTTCTGCAAAGGGATTTCAAGTTATAAGTTCACACTATCAACCATCATAATGCCATGTGTTTTGCTGTTTGAGAATAGCATTAGTTCAAAAGTCTATACATAAGCTGAAAGCCTGAAACACACAAAAGGGGCCGATACAAGGGAGTTTAACATAGAATGGAAAAAAAGAGCTCATTACTCTGTACATGTTGCCTCTATGTTTCTCAACCACTGAAAATTATGTGGTGACTTCTGTAAACAAACACAAAATTAGTCCCCGATTCTACCAACTATATTCTCCATTAATTTGTTCTAGAACCTAACTCTCTTACTCGCAACTAGAAAACATCTCAGTTTCCTACTACAATACTAGTTTCTGGTTTTGCTCACTTTATGTATGCTACTGATTAAGCCGGGCTAAGCTCAACCTGAACTCGCCTTTTTGCACTTACAAAACCATTTTTTTATAACACAGACAAACAGAAAACCCATATAATGGCTCCATGACCCATGTGCTTCAAAAACAGAGTTGCACGCAATTCTCAAGCTCATCATAACCATTCCCAACCTTCAAAACCGTTATGGTTCACAGTTTAGAGGCTTCTAGGCTTCAACATAAGGTGACTGCACAGTGTCCTCAGAGTCACTCCCAGAAGAGCTTCCTGATTCAGAATGTCGGAAGCAGTTGCGTTGATCAATAAATATCAAATGCAAGTATTGAGATTGGTGCAAATAGAGATTAGATTAGAAGGGTTTAGTCTGTTACCACTGGAAGAAGAATCACTGCTGGAGCTAGAGGCACTTGAACTGCTTGTTCCACTGATATCCTTCTCGATCACTACCAGGGGTATGTCACTGTTTGGAATGTCCTCCCCAATATCAACATCCTCTTCTCCCGCATGCCCTTTATTGATCTTCTGCACTACATTCTGTGGGATGGGCTCATTTGCTGTCAACTGCTTTGCAAAAACAATTATACAACACATTATCAGCCGAACTAGAATAAGTAAAGCAAACTAATCAGGCAATAACAGCCTAGTGTGCATTTTCTTACTTTATTGGGGTAACCTCCAGAAACATCTTTACTCATGCATTGCATGCTCACATTGCTTAAAGCATTCTTCTGGGAGCCCACAAATGTATGTAGTTCCCATAGTGTTTCATTGTCAAGCGCCTGAATGTCAAGTTCTATCTCACCACCCTCCTCTGACACAGATAAATTCATCTTCTTTAAAATTTGCAGCATATGATCCATCTTCTCTTGTGGCAGGTTCTGCAAGCTCAAACCCAACTTTGCTTTTTCCTCAAAAGTCATCTGCCTCTTGTTTGGATTGTTAACCATGGGTTTTGGCAATTTCCCTGACTTGGGTGGTGCTACAGGCTGTGGACAAGATTTTAGTGCAGTAGGCACCGAAACAACTGCACCCGAAGCTCGGATTGGAACAGGAGGATTGAACACCATTGCTGGTGAAGGTACTGAATTGGTTTTTTTGGCAATGAGAATTTGCTTAGGTGCTCCTGGCTCCACAATTTGTTCTGTGGGATCACAAGTCATTTGCTGTGGTCCAACAGCCTTGTTATCCTCAGCCTCAGAGTTCTGATATGCAGTCTTAAACATGTCTTCAAAGCTATTAAGAAACAATTCTGCCATGACATGCACTTGTTCACCCTTGGGATTATAAATCATAGCATTGTTGAAAGTCAGTCTAACATCAGCTGCAAAATCTTGTGGCGTTTTGTACTCATTCCTGTCCAGTTTTGATTTCACAGTTCCGAGATCCATTGGGTTTTTGATGATTAGGTTGTAATCATGAAGCCCCAGACGTTTGACATCCACTGGTTTGTTGAAAATCCATCCATACTTGCGTTTCATCAATTTTTCCAAGATCTGTTTGCACCTCCTCATCATACTGGTCAAAACCTTTTCAGTCCGTGAGCCCTTCACCGCCGGCTGCTTGCCGTCTCCATCTAAAGTGAGAGTATGCGCTCGCTTTTTCCCTGAGAGTTTATTGCCTGTACTCCTTTTGTCTCTCCGATCACCTAGCTCAGTACTCTGAAAATGTTCACTTGCAACATTCGGTGCTTGAATCTCAGGCAGATTATTAGATGCACAGTTCTGATTCACTTGAGGCCATGGATGCGACACTAGTGGCTGTGGAAGCTCCGAGGCTTCTCTTCGCTGAAAATCAGGGAGCGAAGCTCTGCATTCGAGTTCTCGAGTCTCAATCCTCTTCAGAACGCCCTGAACCCTAACCAGATCGGAGATCAGCCGTTGTTTCAGCTCATATACCTGCATTCTCGAATAGGAAGCGAGATTGAATGTAACATATTCTTTGCTGAACAGATTACTGCAGTCTATGAGAGTATTTGGCCTCGGATTGGAAGGCCGCGTACTCTCATGATCCATAGGTTGAGGCCGCGGCGGTGGAGCAGGACCATTGAAGTGACGCTTGAAATGCTTGTTTGAAGTATCATGGCGGTTGAGATTATTGTGGCCGGGGTTATGGTTGAACCTGTCGCCGGAATGAGGGTTACTGGTAGGCCTACAGGTAAACTTCGCCCGTTGCACCCTTCCATCGCCCCAGTGCGCTTCATTCCTGCCGGCGAAAACAGCCGATGCCATAGAAATAGAGGATTTTTGGAAGCTGTACTCAAGCGGCCATGGCTAATCTCCGGCGAGGAAGCGGAGAGAACTCATGATGAAACTGCCGAAAAGGTTTTATCTTCGCCGGTCGGAAAAATAACTGAATGGAGGGAATATTTGAAAGTAATGAATAGGGAGGGAGGGGGCGAGGGTTTCGAGGACCCTCTGTTCGCCGGAGTTTTGAACGATGATAGAAACAGAGGGCACTCACTCTTCTTAAATGCAAAAAGAGTCTGCCCGCTTTCTGTTACGGGCAGTTTCTGATCATTTTGTACACAAACACCTCAGCGGATTTCTGATTTCATTTACTGCCCGAGAGTCTACCCGGCAAACCATCATCAACGGTGAAGATCCGCCTAATTACCACGTGGATGGATATTAAGTCTGAACGAGAAGGGCAAATTTTTTTAACGCAGAAGATTTTTGAAATTTGCTATTTACACCATATATTTTTATCTTATTTATTTACTTCTGTCAGCTAAATTAAAATCTCTTAGGTTCTATTTGGCATTTTAAAATTATCATCACATGGGAAGAAAAAGTAAACACATTGAAAGAATATTACCCTCACACGATTATTTTTTTTCACCAATCAAATAATGGAATAAATATTGAATATAAAGTCAACATTTATTCATTTCAATTGAATTTAAATTTCATTTTTCATAAGTTGCTTTTTCACGAACCAAACAAGCCGTTATTACCTAAAAATGAAATATAAGATAAGGATGTGTGACGCTGAAAAATAAAGTTGGAATTCATCCATGATAAGAATGAGTGACGTCGAAAAACGAAGTCAGAATCTAGAATCCATTCAGGATAAGGATGTGTGACGCCAAAAAGTAACGCTATTAGATTGCATAGTCTTCATCATGTGTGTGCAAGTGGCGTGTCATGCAAAGAAACAATTAGGCATGTTCCTAAAATTTTGTCGAGAAGTAACTGATCCTACAAACCTATAAAAGGAAACTCAAATTATTCATGAAAACAGCATTCTTGGAATCATCATCTTCAATCCAATGTTGCAAAAGTCGACCTAGATGCTAAGAGCTAGCCCTAGGCCGATGAAATTTATTAGGTATTATGCGTCATTTAGGTGGCTAGCTAATTAGTCAATTGACTTAATAGACTTGACAAGGTAATCGATCAAATTTGTCAATTATTTTTTCAATCGGGGCTCAAGACGTCATAGTTTTGAACGAAACAAACTTAAAATTGACACCAACGAGACAGTGTCACCCATCAGTCCATCACTTATCGCAAGTAGCACACTCACCATTTAAAAAGAAAGTGGGGCTTGAGATTTTATTGTTCCATTCTTTTTAGCTTTGATTAATACTTTATCAGTACAAGCTTGAGTAGCATATGAGACTTTGAGTCTTTGAACTAGGTTAGAATTTTATGTTTTTGAACTAGAGTTAGGCTTTAAGCTATGGTTATACTTTAATGCTTTATTTTAGTATTGCTAAAACGTTTTGTT